CGACCTTCTCCTACTGAAGTTGATCCTGAAGTTAGGGAGAGGGAGGAGGCTGAGGTGCGAGGCCCTGGCAAAGGCAAGGAACTCATCCCTCCTCCTTTGTTCCAGAAAAGTTTGTTCGAAGCAACGAACATTACTGGGGCGAAGCGCTTTCTCAACGCCACTCTTCCAGAGGTGGATAGGAGGTAGGCGAGGGATGAGGCGGTGGGCCAACTGGGGGTGCGGGTTGTAAGGCACGCCTTGGAGGTATGTAAAGAAGTTGTAGTTTATTCATGTTTTATTTTTGATTTTATGACTTCTGTGTTTGGGTTCTGACTTCTGTTTGCATTGTAGAGTGCAAGCTGGGTAAATACTCTGGCGCAGGAGTACGCGGATAGCATGAGAGATCGTGCCAGCTTGTAGAGGCAGTGCGAGGAGTTGCAGAAAGAGAAGGAGGAGCTGCAGAAGAAGAATAAAGAGATGCAGAGGAAACTGGATGAAGTTCTGCCATCAATAACCGAACTCCAGAACGATAGAGACACCTTGAGCACGAGACTTACCTTCAAAGAGCGCAAGAGGAAGATTTGCGAAGACAAGCTCGAGGCTTAAGACAAGTACATTGAGAACATGAATAAAGGAGTAGTGGAGCTAAAGAAGAACGTGAATCTGTTGGTTCACAACGGGTTGGAGGAGCACATTGGCAACTTCCTTGACTTCAGCACTTTTGAGAACATCATCAACCTCTATCGACTGCTGACCGCAATTTTGGCATTCACCGACTATAGAAAGAAGGTGAAGGCTCAGTATCCGGAAGTGGACGTCACGACAGTCACCTTCGGTGAATAAGAAGAAGGAGTGGAGGAGGACGGTGAGAGTCTCTTTGCTGACTTCCGACCTTTGATTAAGTTGAGGTGGGAGCATGATGCAGAGGGATGCACTATCTTTCCTCCAGCCTTTGATGCTGAGTTTGTGGCCGTGGAGGAAGAGGAAGAAGTGCAAGATGCTGAAGTTGAGGATCAGGCAGACCCGGCCGAAGTCCAGCCTCCCATAGTTCATCTAGTTTCCTCTGACGAAGTGCACCCAGCTCCTCCTGAAGTAGAAGTGCTACCTCTGCCAGTTGGGGATTAGCCACCTCCACCACCTCTTCCTATTGAGGAGCAGCCTCTTTCTTCAGCAGATTAGCTTAGGATTTTCTATTTTTGAGTTATATTTGTAATGAACATTTTTGTAATTGATTGTTTACTAATTTATAAAATTTTTGAAGTTATTTTTGGTGTTCAGTTTTGATTTCTGATTGTTGTTTTGTTTTAAGTAAATCACTTTAGATAAAATAAAGTGACTTTAATTAACACGAGGAACTGACCTCGGACACACAATAAAGTGAACAGCAAGGGAATTGACTTCGAATATACATGAGGCAAACCTCAAATATACAAATGAAAGAAGATGAAGTAAATCACTCCAAAAGTAAAGTGTAATTGATTAATAAAATTGTAACCCAAAAAGTGAAGTGACTAAATAAGTCACAATGAATTAACTTCAGGAATAAGTGAAATTCACTTTCAACGTATAGAAGGGTAGAGATAAATGAATTGAGCTCGTATATACATTGAGCAGAAAGAGAGAATAATGACAATTATAAAAATAAGACAAAGTTCACTAGAAAGAAGTGTATTAAGGGTAAAGTTTCTTCAAGTTATTGACATTCCAGACTCTAGGAACCTTTTTGCCTTTAGTGTCCCGTAGGATATAAGCACCTGGGTGCGACACTTCAGCTACAGTGTAGGGGCCTTCCCAGTTTGGTGCTAACTTTCCGAATTGAGTTTCGAACCCCGTTAGACCAGCTTTCCTGAGAACGAGGTCTCCTACTTTGAATGTTCGGGGTCGAACTCGTTTGTTGTAGAAGTTAGCTATTTTATGGTTGTAAACTAGACTTCGAAGTCGCGCTTCCTCTCTGACTTCGTCAAGCAAATCAAGGTTCTCCCGAAGCAGTTGTCCATTTCGTCCTTCATCGAAATGGGTGACCCTGAAGCTTGGGACTCCTATCTCGATAGGAATGACTGCTTTGGTACCAAAGGCTAGGTGATAGGGTGTTTCACCTATTTCAGTTAATTATAATTTTAGAATGCACTTTACGCGTTATGCATATTTGCTCTAAGGTCAAGCCGTAGAAGAGGGAGTAAAATAATATGAAATTTAATCAAGTAAACCAAGTTTGAAGTAATACCTGTGACAGTTCGGCTTGTGGTTCTGTATGCCTAGAGGACGTTGTTGAGCTCATCTGCCCACTTGGCCTTATGCAGCTCTAACCTTGGTTTTATCCCCTGGAGTATAACCTTGTTGACAGATTCTACCATCCCATTAGATTCCGGGTGGTACACCGAGGTGAACTGCAATTTGATCCCATAACTAGAGCATAAATCTCTGAATGAGGAGCAGTTGAATTGAGTTCCATTATCAGCCACAATCTGATTCGGGATCCCATATCTGTAGATGATTGAGTTGAAAATAAAGTCTTCGACCTTCTTGGAGGTAAGACTGGATAATGGCCGAGCTTCAACCTATTTCGTAAAATAATCCACACCAACAATCAGATGAGTTACACCTCCTACCCCTTTCTTAAATGGACCTAAAAGACCAAGTCCCCACTGAGAAAATGGCCAAGGTGCTACTAGATTAGTGAGCTCTTCTGCTGGCTGGTGGATTAAGTATGCAAAGAATTGACATTTCTGACACCTCTGTGCGAATTGAATGGCATCTTTATACATGTTGGGCCAATAATATCCTTGTCTAAGGACTTTATGAGCTAAGGTCCGAGCACCAATATGACTTCCGCAGACACCTTCATGCACCTCCCGAAGTGCGTATTCAGCCTCATAAGGGTTCAAGCAACGGAGTAGAGGGAGTGAAAAAGATCTCTTGTAGAGGATTTCATTAACAAGGGTATACCGAGATGCTTTCTTCCTCAACCTCATTTCTTCTTGTTTATCTGCAGGCACTATTCCATCTCGTAAAAATGAGATAATTGGATCCATCCAGCTCAGTGTGCTAGGATTTGTGTTGATCACCGTCATTTTTGGCTTTAAGAAGCTAGGCTCGTCCAGAATTTCAACAAAGACCGATCTGGAGCTTTAGTTGCCATCAGAAGCAAATTTGGAGAGGGAATCTGCTTGCTCATTTTCAGCTTGGGGGATTTTGCTCAAATGGAATTTCTGGAATTTGGATTTCAGCTCGGCCACCAGAGTTGCATACTTCATCATAACAAGATCAACCACTTCACAGACTGAGTTGACCTAATTGACTACTAGTTGTGAATCACTGTATATTTGTATTGCCGCAACTTTTAGTTCTATTGCCAACTGTAAGCCAAGTAGCAGAGCCTCATACTCAGCCATATTGTTTGTTGCATCGAAGTTAAATTTTAGAGCATGTTTACTTTTATACCCATCTAGGCCAAGTAGGATTGCACCAGCACCAGAACCTTTGTTACTTGATGCTCCATCAACATACAAAATCCAGCTATCTAGCTCGGGCTGGGAATCAGAGTGAGTCGAGGTGCATTCTACTATGAAATCTGCAAGGGCCTGAGCTCGGATTGCTGACTTCTGCTGAAATGTTATCTCAAATTCTCCCAGCTCAACTGCCCATTTAATAAATCTTCCTGAACATTCTGGTTTTTATAAAATTTGTCTGAGGGGCTGGTCCATGAGGACTATGATTGGGTGTGATTGGAAATATGGTTTTAGTTTCCTGGCCGAGGTGACAACCGCTAAGGCTGCTTTCTCAGCAATAGAACATCTGATTTCAGCTCCATGTAACACACTGCTGGTGTAATAAACTGGCTTCTGTTGCTTCCCTTCTTCTCTCACTAGCATAGAACTAATAGCTTCATCTGATATGCCGAGGTACAAGTAAAGGATTTCTCCATCGTTAGGCTTTGTCAGCAAAAGGGGTGAGCTAAGATAAGACTTCAGCTCGTCAAATGCAGCTTGGCATTTTGAATTCCATTCGAATTTCTTTTGTATGCCAGATTCATCCTTCTGGGCTGCCAATCTCATGATCTTGAAGAATGGTAAGCATTTATTTGTTGATTTCGAGATGAATCTATGAAGAGCTGCTACTCTCCCTATCAGCCTCTGTACATCTTTTATTGACTTCGGTGGTTCCATCTCGGCTATTACTTTGATCTTCTCGGGGTTAACCTCAACCCCCCTTTTGGACACCATGAAGCCTAGAAATTTTCCTGACTCCACACCGAAGATGCATTTTGCTGGATTCAACCTCATTCTGTTCTTTCTGAGATTGTTGAATGTCTCCTCGAGGTCAGTTAAATGGCTTTCAGCTTTCAAACTTTTTACCACAATATCATCAACATAAACTTCCAAGTTCCGGCCTATTTGATCTCAGAACACGATGGTAACTATCTTCTGGTAAGTAGCACCGGCATTCTTTAAACCGAAGGGTATCATTACGTAGCAGTAGATTTCATCGCCGGCATAGAACGAGGTTTTTTCTTCATCTTCAAGAGCCATTGGAACCTGGTGGTAACCAAAGTATGCATCCAAGAGACTTAATCTCTCATTTCTAGAAGCTGCCTCAACCAACTTATCAATGTTTGGCATTGGGTAACAGTCTTTTGGACATGCCTAGTTGAGGTTAGTGTAATCGATGCAAATCCGCCATTTGCCATTTGCCATTTGCCATTTGCTTTTTTCACCAACACAAGATTGGCGACCGATTCACAATAATTGACCTGTCTGACGAAGCCAGCTTGTAAGAGTTTTTCAACTTCTTCTTTGATGACCTTTAACCTCTCCCCTCCAAAAAGGCATCGCTTCTGGGCCACTAGTTTCTTGAGTGGATTGGTGCTGAGTTTGTGTTGAGATACCGAGGTAGGAATTTCCGGCATGTCTGCTGAGGTCCATGCAAAAACATCTTTGTTAGCTCGGAGAAAGGCTATCAACTCTGCTCTCTCCTCGAGGTTCAATCGTGTTCCTATCTGTGTTTTCCTGTTCGGGTCTGTTTCATCAATCTGTACCTCCTCAACATCTTCACCCGGAGTGGCTCGGGTTTCATCCTCAGGTCGGTTATCAAGGATTTCAACCCCATCACTTGCTGATTGTTATGGATTTCCTGTGGAGGGTTCTCTACTGGTTGGTCTTTGTCTTTTTGTGTCCTTGTGACCGAAGTGACAGTTTTTTTTTTTTTAATCACAAATGAGTTTTGAATTATATAATTAAATTAAACATCAATGTTTGATAGCATTTTTCATTTTATTTTATAATTTTCATACCTGATCTTTTCCTCAAACCAACTAAACCAAAAAAGCACTGGCTCATTATATAAGTACTTCTATATTACTGTTGTAGTCCTTCCAAACCTCTCATAGCTGAATGTGCCTCAGCGATTTAGGCTAAGCAACTTTCTTTAACATAGGTCTACTAGAGCATCATCTCCCTTATCCATTCCATGTCCTGTCTTTAGGACAGCATGTGATAGCTCCTTGGATAGCTAAGCATCTAACTCAGGATCATGCACAACAAATTTAGCATCCAAGTCAGCCTCCAAATTACTTTCTTCATTGCCTCCTCCATTGTTGCATCATCACTAGGGTACTGGTCGTTAACCAATGCTAGTTGGATAACAATGGGTTGCTATTGCTACTATTGTGTGGAAAGTTGAGTCCAATTGGAAAGCTGTTGCAGTGCGGGAGGTTGGCTTAAGTTGGGCAATTGCTATGGTGTAGGAACAGCCCTATAAGGCCTCTGAATAAGACGATGAAGTTGCTTTTGTGGTTCTGCTTGTGGATCAATCTGTTGTTTATAGGATGATGCACCTCAAGTACCTCGTCCCATATCTGTACATAGAAAATAATGGAAACATATCAACTTTCTTTTCATAAAGATAAGCAAAAACTTTAAAGAATCAAGAAAACAACAAATAAAAATATTCAGTTGATAATTTTTAGATAATTTTTATGATATAGCAATAACCAAACATTCTCAGCAACCTTTTACATGAAATTAGAATAAAAACATTCTCTTGGTGTAATAATTCATCATCAAAATATTCTTATATAAGATCTAGAACCAATCATGTCAACTTTACTGCGTTAGGCATTTGAACAAATTTCTCCACTTTTCCATTCACCTTTTGAGGAAATTGTGTTCCCCTTACAATTTTCTAGTTTTTAATAATTACCATTCCCCTAACACTATATATCAGCCCCATTACCATGGATCTGCCACTACCTATCACAGCATTTCTTCGATTCTCAAAGAAAATAGGGGAAACAGAGTAGAAAACAAAGATACTTTTTTTTTTCTAATTTTTTGGTAGTGGTTGAGGGAAAATATTAATTTGAGCTCTTAAAATTACTTTTTTTGCAAATCAAATTTACCACTTCTTCAACCCTACAACAAACCATATTTCTGTATTTGGTTTGCCTTGGGTTCTCATTAGGTAATGTTGGTGAATCAAGGTCGTTCAAGATTTTGGGTGGAGTCACTAGTCTGGAGCTGTGTCGGGTAAATATAATTCACTCTAATTATGTTATTAAAGACTTAATTGGTTTGTTTGTAGGCAACTATTGTATTCTAAATCATTCTTAACTTCTTTTTCAAGTAATTTTCTCTTCTTCTACAGGTAAATTGCACAAATTAGAGGAACAGGACAATGATTGTGAAGATTGGGAAAATATCTTGCTTTCATGAGGAATAAAAATTTTCCTTTTTCTTTTCAGAATGAATTTAAGAATACTTAAAGAATATATAGTAGTGTCTACTGTCAGAATTTGTTTATAGTATTCTACAATCAAATATTTTACTATTCATCGAATAAAACATTAGTTTAATTTGTTCTTGCTTTGGTGGGTTTTGCCATGTAGCTTTTCCAATTATGTTTTCGGAAAAGATCTAGCCTTTCCAATTACCTAATAAATATCATACTACTACTACATATCTCCACTCTAGACTCTTCCAATCTTGGATGGTTTTGGATTATAAGTTTAATAGTTTAATACAAGATAAAAAAAATAAAAATAAAAAAAAGATAAAGGAGAAAATCATACATTTGATTCTTGTTTTCAACAAACTCACTTGTTTTAGCAGTCAAAAATCCTTATAGCAACCGTCCAGCTTATATTTTTGAACAACTGATGATATTGTTTACTAACGCTAAACTAACACCTTTCTGACATTTATTCTCTGTGGCTGTCTTTGTAAATATTTTCTTAGTCTTAGGATTATCATTGCTCTTTTATTTTTATTCCTTTTGTAGGACATTCAAGACATAAGAAATTGCTACAATGGCCTATTTTCTACAGCTACTACAACCACAAACTGTGCATATGGTATAAATACTACACTTCATCACCACATTTATTGTTTGGAGTTTTTTCCTTTCTTCTTTCTTTCAATTTCTGGCCCCTACATTCCATTTTTGGTATCTTCTAATTTTTTGATTGCATTGTATGTTCCTTTTCCAGCCAAAACTGATGACTAATTTTGCAATGGTAACAAATTTTTGAGTCTCTAGAGTAGCATGAATAAGTTGTGATGTCAAGTCACCTTTATTTCCTTTATCTTTGTGACAAGATTTTATGTTTTTTCATTGCTGATGTTTTTGTACATCAGTAGATTACTTTTATGGCATAACATTCAAGATATTTACCATCCGACTATCTGTGCATTCACAGAATTCTCAGAAACATTGCGAGAAATGGGTTCTTGACTGCTAGAAAAAGCAACATTACATCATGATGTAAATGTAGAAACTGGTGAGTGAATTCTTTTTACTGTTCGTGGGTGGGGTGGGGTTGGGCAAAGGGTGTTTAGACTTCAGAAGATCTTGCCCTCACCCAACATATGGTGATATTGGTTTGGGTTCTTAGGTGATTTGACTGGAATATGGATGTGCTGTAATGAGTAATGATGCTGCCTTTTTCTGCAGGTGAAGTTTTGTTAATGTTAGGGAATGTGCAATTTGAACTCCAAAAACTTGTGGATAACTATGTGAGCACTTTTATTTTTATTATGTGAGAAAATATTTTAATTTCTGCCCGTTTAATTTCTGCCTTTTGTTCTTGCTTTTCTAGTTTTTCTTTGGATGATTCTTAGGATCTCTAATTAAAAAATAGTTGCACATTTTTGTTAGAAGTAGCCTCTCATTTAATAAGTTGATATGCAATAAATATAACTCCAAACCTTAATTATTTATAAAATATAAATATCAATATATAACTAAATATATATA